GGCGCCAGGGGCGTGGCCTCCGCCCTCGCGCACCGCACACTCGGCGTGAGTAGGCCGAGGGCCGAGGGGGGAGGGACGGAGGAGGGAGAAGGAGGGGGGGAGGAGGAGGAGGAGGAGGAGGAGGAGGAGAGAAGAGGAGGAGAGGAGAGGAGGAGGAGGAGGAGGAGGAGCAAAAAAGAAAAAAAAAAAAAGAGAGAGAGAGGAGGAGGAGAGGAGAGGAGAGGAGGAGGAGGAGGAGGAGTATGATGAGAGGAGGAGGAGAGGAGAGGAGGAGGAGGAGGAGAGGAGGAGGAAGGAAGGAGGAGGGAGGAGGAGGAGGAGGAGGAGATGAGAGGAGGAAGAGATGAGGAGGAGGAGGAGGAGAGGAGGAGAGAGAGAGAGATAGGAGAAGAGGAGGAGGAGGAAGGAGAGAGAGAGAGAGAGGAGGAGAGGAGGGAGAGGAGGAGGAGGGAAGGAGGAGAGGTGAAGAGGAGGTAGGAGAGGAGGAAGAGGGTGAAGAAGATCAGGAGGAGAGGAGGAGGAGGTGGACCAGAGGTAGGTAGGAGAGGGAAGAGGAGAGAGGAGGAGAGGAGGTGAGGAGAGAGAGGAGGGGAGGTGGGAGGAGGAGGAGGAGGAGGTGAGAGAGGAATGTGTGTGGAGGAGGATGAGGAGGAGGAGGAGAGGAGGAGTGGGTGGAGGAGGAGGAGAAGGAGGAGGAGGAAGAGGAGGAGGAGGAGGAGGAGGAGGAGGAGGAGGAGGAGCAGGAGGGGTGAGGTGAAGGAGGGGGGGAGGAGGAGGAGGACGAGGAGGAGGCAGGAGGGCGGGAGCTACGATTGGGCAAAAAGCAAAGGCCCGATCAGTAGGATGCACCTCTCCCTTCAGCGCATAGGGTGGGAAGCCTACACCCCCCTGGACTGGCGCGATGATAACGGCGTGGAGATATCCCTGCTGTACTCCACCCCCTCCATGGTCGGGCACTGGCTTAGCCTTGGGGTCCAGAGGCACCACGAGCGAGTTTTGGGCAAGAAACTTGGGTGGACCCCTGGGACCAGAGTTTGTGTGGAACTTATCCGTCGCATCACCAAGTCGGGGGTTAAAGGTATTGGCCTCAACGCCCAGGGTAAATATTTAGTGATGGCGTGTTTCTGTGAAGGGCTCTGGACCGAAGACAGGGCTTTACGGTCGGGGTACATCACACCAGGTCTCTGCCCCTTATGTCAGGCGCCCGACTCGGTAGGTCACAGGATCTTCGCCTGCCAGCACGCGGAGGTCGTTGCGGCAAGGCAGGCCGCCGACGTCTCCACGGCCTTTCTCGAGCGTGCCCAGAGCGGGGACGCGCAGTTTTTCGAGGCCCTCAAGTTTCAGCACTCAGCGGCCGAGTGGCCGAATCTCTCGGAGGTGCACGAGCCAGAGCTCTTTGATATGAGTGGTCAAAAAGTGGAGTGGGATCAGTTTGATGGGTCCTCCTTCTTCCAGGCTGGAGACGGGTCTTGCGCTCGTCATGCAATCAGAGAGCTTTCGAGAGCGGCTTACTCGTGGGTGTTCTTCGATGCTGAGGGTGTGCAGCGGTATGTAGCAAAAGGAGTTGTATGGCCGAGTTTACCCCAAACCAGTCAAGCAGCAGAACAACTCCAGCTTGCCTTGCTTCCAATATATGTACCAAACCATGGACCGACGTTATACAGCGATTGTATGAATGCCGTCAAGCTGCACAACATGGAACCGTCATGTCAAGTTTCGGCCAAGCAACGTTATGGAGGGTTGAGAAGGGGGGCCCTGCTCCACATGAAGGATCAAGAGTATGCCCCAGCTGTTCACACCCCTGCCCACAGGAAGTTAGAAGACATCGAGCAGCTGCCCCCACCTGAGCGGTGGACCGGCCAGGCTAACTGGCGAGCGGATCGAGAGGCTAAAGGAGCCCTTGACCTGCATCCCAGACCCTCACCAGCCGACTGGCAGCAGCTGGACAGCTCGATCGAGAGTCTCGAAACGGTGGCCCGCCTCGTGGCGAATGTGTTGCCGTGTTTTCCGAGGGTGCACCACCAGCGCCCACCGCGGCGTGAGCGCCAGCGTAAGGTCATTGCGTGCGCCACGAGCTGGCATGACTGGGAGCCCTGGCTGTGGGGCCACAGGTGTGCTAAATGTTTAAGTTTTCATGGGGGTAACCTCCAAGATAGGCCAGAGGTTGGATGCATGGGACTCTCGAGGAGCCTCACCAGGTTGCTCTCCGAGGCCCCCGACCACGGCCACAAGTTAGCTAGTACGCAAGTAGGTGACGAGAAGCTGCCCCTAGTGTTCTGTATGCTGTGCGGTAGCTACACTCAAGAGAAA